ACAGTACAGAGTTATCCCACCTTTCCTCCCCTACTCTGGGGGCAAAGAGTAGCTCAACTGCCAATGACCTAATTGGTTTGATACTGGCATCTAGTGAGTCTACCCGACTGAAGGAACATAGAGAAAAACCATTTCAAGCTCCCATCAGTTGATAGGTTTGAGCCTTCTGACCTATATACTTCTACTTGATTTCTCTATACCTTAGTTTTGTCAATCAAGAGGACCATAAAATTTATCTCATTGGATTATGAGAACAAGAAATAATATATACAAAGTATTTTATTGTGCCTGATATATAAAAGGCTCTCAGTTAACAGTAGCATGAAGATGCTGTATTTCCCTTTTAAGCCCCTCTGTCTTGCTGGTCATTAGTAGCACATCACTCACAGACTTTTGTCTGGTCTAGTCTCCTCGACTTTGCTGTCCAGAGTCAAGCAGTAGAAAGTAGTGGTTAACACATGGGCTTTGGACCTAGGATAGACTTATAGTTTGGTTATTTAATGTTGATGAGTTAATTTTTTTTTTTTTTTTTTCATCCTCACCCGAGGACATTTTTCCATTTTTTGTTCAGGTAGAGTGGCGGGGGAGAGAGAGGAACAGAGAGAGAGAGAAACATCGATGTGAAAGGGACACATCGAGTGGCTGCCACCCGCACAACCGACCAGGGCCGGGGACAAACTGCAACCGAGGTACGTGCCCTTAGCGGGAACCGAACCCGGGTCTCTCAGGACCGCAGGCTGACGCTCTAACCACTGAGCAAAACCGGCCAGGGCTAATGTTGATGAGTTTAAAGTGTTACTTAAATTTTCTAAACCTTGGTATACTATTTCCTAATGATGATGATACCTACCTCACAGGGTTGTTGTGAGAATTCAGTGGAATTGCCCAATTATGTAAACTGCCTAGCACCAAACCTTGCACTTGGTAAATGTTTACTAAATAGTTGCTTTGATTTGAAAATTTTTGAATGTTTTAATTGATATTTCTATGAAGATCATATAAATAGGAGATGCTAGGGCTGTGATCAAACAAAAATCTATCCACATCTCATGCCTTTTTTGGTATAGCACATTTCGTGTGTATATTTGAATACTTTGAATAACCTGACTACCAGTGTGTTCCCTATTACTAGAAATATTTCAATATGCATAATATGATTTTGTAGGATCATAGATTATTTTTAAGGTCCTTTGAATTCTGCAGATCTTATGATTCTCTGGATAATGTAGGCAGTGCCTAAATTGAAACATATTTTAAGCATTTGTTTGTAAATTAGCTGTTGAGAATTAGAATTTTATTTTTTATAAGATGTACTTCTGTATAGAATTTAGATACTTGTACAGAAGAAGGAAGCAGAGATGCTATGATAATTAAGTTTAAACTCAAGAGCCTCAGATTGTTTTCCTTCTTTCAATTTCCATTTCTAAATAAACCTAGTCTTAGCAAGGTTTTACAAGAAAATAATCTACCCTACTAATTCAAGCTAATGTGAATGAGAACCTTTCATTGTTCATAAATAAGCATATATTTATTCATTCAACACATATTGTGTGCCAAATATATTCTAAGTTCTGGGGATATAACAGTCAGGAAACAGTTTGTTTCTCTAGGGTGAGAGAATATAGTGATCCTGGGGAAGGAGACAATTGGACTAATTTGGGACTACTGCCATAGTCCAAGTGTAAAATATCAAGGGCCTGGATTGTGATAGTAACAGTGGGAACTGAAGATTAAAACAACTTTTGAAAAGTTGATTCTATAGGACAATTATATATAAATTATATGGAATAATGAAAAGAAGAGTCCAGATTTAGCCAAGTGTATAAATTCAGGCAAGAGAGGACAACTAGATCTATGGGGGAAATGGAAATCATAGTCACCCATGGGTATGTATTTATGGGATGATAGTGCATCTTAGTGGAAATGCCCCATGATAACTAGAAAATTTGAGTAAGTTAATTTCTCCAAACCTGAGTTTCCTATTTTTCAAATGAAGATTATACTACCAAATAGTATGCCTGTGAAGTTAATGTCTACAAAATATAGACCAATTTAATGACCTATATTTAGTTATCAGTTATTTCCAATTCTTACCTTCATGGCCTGATCTCTTATTAGTTTCTCTCAGGGCTTAGATGTGGCTACAACTTTAATCCATTCTCTAAAGAAGAAGTTTTGTTTTTTCTTAATTAAATGTTGATGTTAAGAAATTTAAACTCGTCTGTCTTTATAAAGCAGTGCTTCATCTACCTAAATGATGCTGATTAACAATACCCAATCTGGCATCAAGTAAATTAAACAAAAATCTAGAATTAAATATAAGGGTTGATTTAGTAAGTTCACAATTAAGTCTAAATTGCTTTATGGATTTCCTAGAGGAGGCTCTAGCTTTGAGGCTGACTAAACTGGATCTAAGGATACCCTAGATCGTAGGACAATTATATATAAATTATATATAACCATCATAGTTACTCATGAGCATGTGTAACTTTTTTTTTATTTTTGCATAGATAAAAGAAAGGATTCCACATAAGATTTAAATCGAGAGGTAAATTTTCAGAAGAAAATGATGGATGTATCCTCTGGGAGCAGTGAGATGCAGGGATGTTCTGCGTCTAAGTTTAAGGCATTTATGAACAATTGTACACCCGCACCCACACAAATACACAAACAGTGGTCACAACTGTATCTCCAGATGCTGCCTCTCTCCCCAGTCTCATTTCCAAAGTGCATCCATTGCTTTTCATACCCTCTCTTTTGTCCAGTGGTGAAAAGCTTATATAAATACTAAAACTTCAACTATTCCCCCAAGTTTTCTGTTGGCAAGTCTGCAGCTATGAGTTTGTCTGGTTATTGACATATATTTTCTGTGTAGATCTTTCAGGCTACTTGGGTGAGTCCAGTGATGATAAATTCACTTGTCTGGAAAATTTACCAGACTAACCATTATAACACTATGTTTATGAAAACTTAAATAATTAACACTGATTGAAAAGGCTTCATATTCAAAGTATCTCTTTTATTCTTCCAATATACATCATTTTGGTGATATATATATCAGTCTTAGGAAGTCTTAGCCACAAGGTGACTTTAACAATCATTGAAAAGAACATATGGGAGTGAAGAATCGATTAATGCAAGACATTTAATCTTGTGTCATGGTGTTCTCATGAAGCAATGTTTTTCAATATTTGGAAGTGAAATATTTTATTCTGTACTAAGTAGGGATAATTAACATTACTAAGCTATAATTAAAATGTATAATGAAAATATTTATTTGTCATAATGGAGAGAAATGGGGAGTTGTATTTACAGACAATAAGTCATTGTCTCGATGGTTGTAGAATAAGTGGATGCATGAATAGGATTAATTGCATTCCTAGTAAAATGTAATATTACCTTCATTAAAAATTTATCAACTCCTTTTTACTTGGAAATTTTAATATAAAATAATAATGTAAATTATTTCATATAAATAAATATATATGAATATTATAGTTCATATAGTAGTGTGTCTTTTGGAGAATACAATTAGATCAAACTTTATTTTATTTTTCTTTGTTATCTACTTGATGGCAGTTAGAGAAATATCCTCAAAGTATTGATAGTGTTTTTACACTTGTTTCAATAGTGAAAGAAGTCCAGTTCTCTAATGTAATTTTCTGTGGAATCTGCAGATCTGGTATTAATTCTAGCTATGTAGAATAAAGCTGAATAGAATTCCATGAGTACTAAATATTTTTATTGTGTTTGCACTAGTCCTTTCATATTAGTGAAGCAATTTACTTGCTGCCAGTAATTTATTTTAGCTAATGTTTTAAAAATAAAACCCCTTTCACCTAGATTGTTACTTTAAAAATATTGTACCATATTAACAATTAGCAGTTCTAAAATTCTTCTAATATACAAACTGTGAGTGTTTTTGATGCTACAAGAGTCTGCTCTGTCTTAAAAGAGAAGAAATATAAAACATAAATTTCATGAATGAATTAGGTTTTGTTTCCTTCCTTTTAGAGAAAATAAAGAAAATCAAATATTTTTGTCTATGAAGCCCAATTTTAAATGATAGTAAAAATAAAACAAAGGTAAAGGACTTTAAAGAATTTGAGTGTTGTTGGCTAAACTGAGATATCTGTTTTTACATGTCTATAAAATGTTATGATTACTAAGTCTCAGTATGAATAAATAAGTAGCTAAGATTACATTTAGGTAATGGTTATGGCTGTTAATTCTGACGTACTTTAAATGTAGTGATGATAAAATATGTACCTTTCTTTTAAAACAACCATGTTCGTTTATTTTTTGTTTTGAGGAATAATATAGTATATCAGTCTCTAACCTGATATGCTATACCTGAGACCTAAAAAATACTTTTCCCAATGACATCATGTTCAAAATTGCAATGCTAGTATTTTTAATAAGAAGCTCAATGACACATTGAAACTCAGTTAATACCATTTTCCACATAATCTCTCTTCTTCAAGGGAATCTCTGTCAAAAAGTTCATAAGGACAGAAGTAGGAGGAATGACATCTCTAATCATAGATTTTCAACAATGGGACCGAGTTGGCTGTTCTTATCACTACATTGCAACTTAAAACATTTCATATAGGCAATATTTTCTCAAAACTAGGAGCAAAGAAACTAGAAAATCCTATCATTGGTTGCTGCAAAAGGGTCACATGAGAAAAAAAACAGTGTTACCTTCTTTTTCATTTTTTTTTTTTTTGCTTGTTAGAAATTTATTATTTTTTAACTCATTGATTTATTTTTGTTGCAGATGTTTCTCCTCCCCCTCCCTCCAGACATCCTCTTCCCTATCCCCCACCCCCACTCCCACCCCGCAAGCATTGTCTATGTCTGTTGGTTATGTATACATGCATTATAAGTTCTTTGGTTTATCTCATCCCTCTCACCCACCCCGCTTCTCTGAAGTTTGTCAGTCTGAACCATACCTTCTTTAGTATATAAAAATGCATCCTTTTTCGGTCTCTTTCTAGGTTTGAAGAAGAAATAACCAACACTTGGTTACACCTTTTTGAAGGCAGTAGGGTCCCATATGGCCCAATCAACAATATGAAGAATGTATTTGCAGAACCCCAGGTTTGTTTTTTGTTTTGTTTTTATTTTTATTACACCACAATTAAACCAAACATTTGCCTCTTTTTTCTATCCAGATTGATTCATATAGATGTAAATTCACCATTGGTCTTGCACTTTAATCATATAACTTGGAATTTTAATGTTATGTTAAATTGTGGGTAGGAAATAAAAAGAATTAGAATTTAGAACTGGCTGCCTACAATTATACTTTTATGTTTATGAGATCTAACATATTTCTTCAGCAGCCAATACATAAAATTTCCAAGGTTTGGACATTTTTTCCTGAAGAATAAAAATGTAGACCACTGAGAGGTTGGGGTCAAACACTCAGAGATCATTCTCTATAAAAAGATATAATAACTTTCACAGTTATAGTACACTTCTCACACTATGTCTCTCTTAAAATGTACGAAGTAAGGCATAATTCTGCAAATGAGAGGCTTTTATATACTTTGATTAATATGCATTATTCATGAAGAATAAATTGTACTTGAATAGAGATGAGTGTTCTACCTTGATACAGATTCCTTAGTGGGGTCCAGTAAAAAACAGTCAACTGAAAAAATATTTCTTCTATAATATTATTTAAATGGTTATATTTAGATGATGTCAAAATAGTAAGTTTTTATTTTCTTACTTTAATCAATATCCTGGCAAGCAATTTATCACCTCTAAGATTCACATATTAATCCTAAAAGGTAGAGACACTCCATTTCTCTGCAAAGGTTTCACTATGATTATTTGCATGTCTTATCAGTTTTCAACATTTCAAAATTATAGGGTTTTAAAAATTCTTTTATATAGTGACAGATTTTTCTTTGAAATGAATTGTTGAAAATGGAATATACTTTTTTAAAGGAGGAGAACTTTGTTGAAATTGACCTAACCCTTTGCTTTGCTACCCTTATCTTACATGAATATCTGTTTAAAAGACAATTGAATGTATTTAATTAAATGTTTAGAATATTTATTGGGGAAAAAAAATGAATGAATTCAGAAATTCTGCTTTATGCTATCTTTTGGTCAAGATTGTGAGTATGGCAAGGCTTTGTCTACAATAAAACAATGATTAATAAGTATATGAAATGAGAGAGCCCACTTGATATTCACTGAGTATATGTGAAAGGGTCCCCACCACATCAGTGAATTAATTCCTTGTGGTAAGGTAGCAGTGTGAATGTAGCAGACCAGATTGCTGGTTTTCTAATAACTTTAAATGAGGCCAATTGTTGGCTTTAAGCTGTTATGGGGAAATGGGAGATTTTTGTTGTTTCTGCTTAAAAGTGGTACAAAGCTGTGTAGGACTTCACATTTAACACAATTGAAGGCACATTTCTGTAGAGATATTTCCTGAGAGTTTTTCCATCAGCAATTTTGTTACTCCACCTGTATTTCACCAGGGATAAAGTCATTAAAGTAAAGAATATTATTGTAAAAAATTATTAGATATATTCTAACATTACCTCCTTTTTAGGCTTTAATGAACAAGGATCCAAGGCCCCACCCATCACCTTAAAATCGTTCACTTTATTTGCTGGTTCAAATTTACTATAGGGTAATTAGAATTTTCATTTCAATTTTCCCTTGTAGGTAAGTTAATTACTTTATCCTTTGTATATAAACTCTTTTAGACCTGCAAGAAATTTGTATTATTGGTCTATGATATATTTTTAGTACTTAGCTAATTTTCTAAATAGAGATGATTGATCTTATCTAAGCCAGGATGCCAACTTTTCCTTCTACCCAAAAAGTCTCTGAAAACTATCTTCTTATACATCAAAAATTAGATTCCAATTGCTATAATCTGAACCTCAAAAATTATTTTTTACTAATTTTTTTGTCTTTATTGATTTTAGAGAGAGAGGAAGGGAGATGGAGAGAGAGATAGAAACATTAATGAGAAAGAACATTGACTGGCTGCCTCCTGCATGCTCCCTACTGGGGATTTGGCCCACAATCTAGGCATGTGTCCTGACCAGGAATCAAACCAGCGACCTCTTGGTGTATGGGTCGACGCTCAACCACTGAGCCACATTGGCTGGGCTAACCTCAAAAATTCTTAATCATACAGTAATAGTTATTGATAATTTTACTCTAGTTGCAAGAGTAGAGTTGGCCTTTTTTATATATATTATTCTCCTATGAAATTTAAATACTAAAATGTATGAATAAAATTTATCTGGATTTTTAGTAAGATTAGAGAGCAATGTAGTATTATTACATTTTTAAAATAATCAAAGAACCATGGCCATTGTAAGTAGGATTTTTTTTTTTTTTTTTGCACAGGAGACAAGGGCACTATCCTTTCTCTGTGCTTGGAAATGTTTTGCTCTTTTAGAAAGAAGTCCATATAGTTCTGAATTTTGAAGGAATGTAAACTGTGAAAAAATCAGGGATGTTTTTCATAATTTGTGTAAAATAAATTATTTTACACAAATTTAAATAGGATATCAAAAAGTGACTATTTTGGAAGTTTATTCAAGAAATTTTTATTGTCCTTAAGGTACCAGGTGCTAGATATTTTGTATGATTTTGGCAATTCTCTTACTTTCTGAAAAATAAATTCAAAATTGACTTAACTAGCAGGTACATTATTAATATATGTTGATGCATGAATCTGCAAATGAATGAGTTGATTCTCTGAAAAGTATAGATTTTCCAAGTGATCAAGTAGCTACTGCATAGATCTGAGTGGGGCTGACAAGCTCTATCTGTAGGCCTGGCTGAAAAGCTTTTGGTTGAAAAGCTCAGGGATAAGCATAACATAATGGGTAAGACCATGGAGTTAAAATTGATGAGCAGTTTTATAAACTTTCTAGGTTTCAGCTTCCTCAATTGTAAAGTGGTGGAATAAGACCTTTTCTTTATATTGTTGTAAATGTTAAATTAGATAATGTTTATTAAGCACACATAGTAAGGACTGCCAGGTGGTAAATGCTCAAAGAGCAGTAGTAGTTCCTGTTTTCATGGTGCCCTTTATGGTAAATTTTTTGTTAAAAAACATTCTTTTACTTACTTTTGTTTTATGGATAGAGGCAAATTTAGTACACCTGTGGCAATGGAAAGCATTAGCTTAAAATTGAGCTCTAACAGATAACCTTTAAAAAAATGCGTCAGCAAACTGTGCCAAGAAGTTTTCAACCACTCACTATTTCTGATTATTGAAAATCCTTTCATTTTTCATTTTCTGTAAAAGTGTAATTTCTGTTTAAGGTGTCCTCCCTTGTTTTTCCCCTGATGAGCTGTGGAGTTTCTTGGCCCTGGGTACATGGAGCCAGCCACTTCTGCTCAGATGTGGGACCGCACTGCTTGTGCCTGTGGCCCAGTTCTTCATGTGCTCTGTGCCAGCACAGCTGCTAGTTCAGCGGAAAACTGACTTGGGTGAAGTACAAGGTCTGGAACATAGCGCAGAAAGTGAGACTGATTAAGTGAAAGGGGGTAGTTTAACAACAAAAAAGTTTAGAAGCATCACAAAGTAGGAGAGCATTTCTGTGGCCATATTTATTAAGGACCATTTACATTTCATTTGTGGTTTACATTTTCATCTTGGTAGACAACAAAAATTTACTTGATGGTGAAAACTATTTCTAACCTAAATAATTTTATTATTGTCTAGTATTTGTAGACAATTTGATTTTTTTGACTTTACCAAAACAGCAGATGATTTTTCTTTCTTTGATAGATGCAAGTTTCTCTACTTTTTATCTCTGATTATATGCCACAGACCTTTGCACAATTAAAATGATGCTACAGGCATCCACTGTTAAGTCAATCAGGAATACTATGAGGCGAGGGGGTTGGACTGTATTTACTGATAACTCTGAGAAATTTTGATCCAAAACCATTTTATTAATGGTAGTTTTGTTGTTTTTGTCCCCCAGTGGTAAATTGTGGAAAACTGTTTGCATTATAGAAGTATAATATAGATTATCTGCATATGAATTTTAACAATTGTTTTTCCAAGTGCTTTCTTCAATAATTTTCTTTTAATCAGGCCAAGATTGTGCAGTACATTAAAATAATTTTTAAAAAGCTTTAAAAACTTATTAGATGACCTCAGCATGGTCCCATTTAACATACTCTTGGGAACATGTGCATGAAATACATTGTGGTTTGAGGTTTTCCAATCCAAATAAACTTAAAAGAAAATGCAGCTTTTAATAGAAACTATACAAATTCCTGCAAAAAAGGTATGGATCTCACCACTGATAGGGTTTAAAAGCATCATTATCAACCACTAGAATCAAAAGAGAACATGTTATCTTGCTTAAGACTGTATGTTTTAGCAGTTCTAGTGTTTTACCCTTTTTGCTTCTCAGTTAAATATATATGTATATATATCAAGTTTTCTACAAATACTAGACAATAATAAAATCATTTAGGTTAAAAATAGTTTCCACCATCAAGTAAATTATTGTTGTCTACCAAGATGACAACAATCTTGGCCTGATTAAAAGAAAATATTTTAAGAAAGCACTTGGATAAACAACTGTTAAAATAATATAGATTATCTGCATACAATATGCAGATAATCTATATTATACTTCTATAATGCAAAATAAATATATATATAAATATACATATATATATATATATATATGACTAAACCTCTGATTAATATTTTTCTTTCTCCTTGATGCTGTGACCTCTGGTTGGGCAAAGGGTGTCACCAAACTGACGTTATTTACCAGAGTCTTCACATTTGTACCACACACGTTGAGTACATCAGGTGTAAGAGCACCCTGAAGCATCACTTCTGAGAACTATCGGGAGGGAAATGTCAGAACTGAAATATCACAGCTGGCCCTGATTTTAACTGGTGCCAAACACCTGCAGGCTCTAAAAGGATACCAAAACAAAACCCCACCCTGTGGCAGCAAGCCATCCCTTAACAACCCTTCTTTAACTTTGCATCACCATCAAAATTAATTTAACATTTTCTACAGAAACCATATTCTTTCTGTCCCAGAAGGCCATTACAACTTCTTTAGCAAATCTTT